GACCACGCAGGCCCGGCGGCCGCAAAACAGGCCGAGGACCGTGGGGGCGGCCTCTGCCGGAGGTGCTTTGGGGCCGTGACCGCGCGGGCGCACGCACGCAATCGGACGGGCAGGGTGATGTGCTTTTCCTTGTCTGTGGTCCGACGGCCCCACCCTCCCTCCCCTCGAGCGCAGAGGCCCCGCCCTGCTACCGGCAGGCCCGCCCCTGTGCTCACGCACGCGCCCCGCGCCCACACACCTCATGTAGAGGGGATTGAGCGCCGCGTAGCCTGCATCGTCGGTCGCTGTGTTGTAGCCGCGGTGCGCCTGGTCCGCGTGCAGCTCCCCCCTCTGACCCATGTAGTGCAGGTGCTGCCGCGTGTGGCACTCGCCCTGCAAAAAACACATCACCAGAACACGGAGGCGCGGCAAGTCACCACTTGCGACGCCATCGGCGCGCAGACAAACCTCGGTTTGCGCCGCAGATGACGGACGGCGCGGGTGCCGCCGGCATGCCGCTGCTTTCATGCGCCAAGCCCCGGCCCGGCGCCCCTGCTGCGCCCACCTTTGGCGCGATCCACGACGCCGTGTACACCGCCGTCCCCACGCCGCCGCCGTCCCGAGCCTCCCACCGCGCGCTCAGCGTGATCGTGTCCTCGCACGGCCGCCCCACCACGCCCTCAGCCACGCCCGCCGCCGCGAGGGCCGACACCAACACGGGCCGCGCCGCGTGGCCAGCAAACCAGTTGTGGATATCAATGTGGTGGGAGTTGAGGTAGTAGTTGATGTCGCTGCTCCTGCCGGCCCAGCCCCGGAAGGTCTCGAGCTGCACCTTAGGCTGCGGGTGGGGGCGGGTGGGGGCAGGTGATACGATCAGTTGCCAGACAGTGTGTGTTGAGTAGGGTATGCATACGTGCGCGCGCGCGTGCATTTGTGTGTGTGATTTTGTGTGTGATGGATGGTGAGCAGCTGTGAAGGCGCACTTGATAAGAGGGCAAGGAATGGGAAGGGGCAGCGAGGACGGTGCTCAGGGGGTGTGTTGAATTCCGAGCCAGCTGCTGGCATCGCAGGGCGTAGGGCAATCACATGGCACCATGTGCTTCAAGTGCCCTCTTAACCTTGGAGTAACATTCACTGGAGAGCGGGCATGTATCATATACTGTCACGCGACCCTGACACTCCCTATGATGCCAAACACAAACTCCCGCGACCTTGAGCCACCCAGCTCTCCTCACGTGCCTGGTTTCTGCCAGGTTTGCAAGGCGACCCCCCACCACCCACCCC